AAAAAAAAAAAAAAAAAAACAAAACAAAACCAAAAAACAAAACTCCTGGATGTGGTCAAGTGAGAAATGCTTGCAGCTCCAAGTCCATCAATATGACAGACTTTCCATCCAAAGGTTTGCAAATCATCAATTTAAACACATAATTGGGCATGTGGAGACAAGTTTAACAGTTTTGACAATAGTAATTTCTGTGGGTAAATTTTTCTCGCAAAAACTCATAACTCCTCATAATTCCTTGATGAAAGAGGTGGGAAACGTGTTCTTGCATGTAGGAGGGCACCTGGCCTGCCCTGGTCTGAGGAGATTGAACAGGAGAAGGGTGAAACAGGGCTTCAGAGGAAGCAAGGCCTGGGTGTTTTCATCATGACTTTCCTCCTAACTAGCCATTTGCTCAAGAGCTTGTCAGGCTTCCTTTTCCTACCTTTGAGATGAGAGGCAAATCTTTATGATCTCTGTCTTGAATGCTATATGAAAATCCCATTAACACGAGATAAATAAATATCCGTGGTAGTTAATTCTCACAGAGTACAAGAAATTCTTCCATTCTTGAAACCTCTAAGAAAGAATTTTATACTGTCTATACGTTGTTAATGGACAGGATATAGAAACTAGTCCTGGACATTCAGCAAATATTTGTTGAATGAATAAGAAGAGAGTAAAAATCCTCTGAAATACTTATGCACTACAGGCAGTTAAGGACTTTAAAGAAATAATTCATATTTCTGTAACTCCTCAAGAAAATAGAAATTATTTTTGTCAAGTTTCAAGAACATGGATGTTGGACAACTCAAGTTCATTTCTAAGTCAAATGAGAATTTCAGAGGATGGGGTGACTGACCAAAATGTCTAAGCAAAAGGGAAACTACAATCCTCAAGACCAAAACAAAGAGAGGGAAGCACAATTCATTATCGATAGTAAGTCACACAAATTGTGACAGGGACAGGGCCGACCATACAGCAGATGCTGGCCGAGACAGCCTCAGCTCCCTCTCCTACCCAGCCTTGGCTGCACCTTGAGGCTCAGGACAAGGTGGCAGAGAGATGAGGTAAGCGGCAACTTGCAGGAGGACGAGGAGAAAAAGGACAACGAAGTGACAGTGCTGTTACTCAAGCTGGGGAATCTGGTGAAAGTTCCACTGTGAAACAGATGAAAGCTGTTTATCATGATGGCTCTTCAGGTGAAGAATGTAAACAACATAAAGTAGTTGTCTACAGCAATACTACACAGTCCATTGTTGTAATCCTGAGTACCACAGGATGGCTAAAGTTGATTTGGGGGAAGCTGTCAGAGCAGATGATGCTTGGCAATGACTTCAGCTCATGGGGCTGAAGACGGAATCGTGACTGCAGAATTAGCATGAGCGATTAAGGGTTATGGTGAAACTAGTGGGGTGCAGGCATGATCAGGGGAGTATCAGCTCACGGATTCTGCTTCCTGTTACCTGAGTGATTTGAGTAGAATGTCACAGCTCTACTATATCGCAACTCAGCAAGATGCTCCTCTGACAAGAGTGAAGACTACAGGCATTGTGAAGACAGGTTTGACCTTCAACGACCTATACTTCCAGATGTTTGACGTAGGTTGGCAAAGACCAGAATTTAAAAAAAAAAATGAATTTATTGTTTTGAAGGAGTGACAGTCACTATCTTTTTTGTGACCCTCAGTGAGTATATGATCTGGCTAGAGCTGGGGATGAGGAGATGAACTGAATGCATGAAAATACGAAACTCTTGGACAGTAGTTGTAACAACAAATGGTTTACACCAGTCACTTAAATGATACTTCAATCATTTTCTTCCTTAACAAGAAAGACTTTTTGGAAGAAAAAATAAAGCGGAGTCCATTGACTCTCTGCTACCCAGAATCTACAGGTTCTGATACATATGAAGAGCCAGCTGCTTGCCCCCAGGCTCAGTTCTAGACCCTGAGGAGCTACAGACACCAAGAATGTGCAGTTTGTCTCTGATGCTCTTACAGATGTCATAATTAAAAACTACTCAACCTGAGTTCAATCCCTGGTTCTGCCAAAGAAAAGGAAAAAGAAAAAAAAAGAGGCAGGGGAGATGGCTCAGTAGAATAAACGCTTGCCTGGCAAGCACAATAGCCTGAGTTCAATCCCTGCTTCCACCAAAGATAAAGAAAAAAAATAAAATAAAAAATAAAAACTACTCAAAGGAATGTGGACTTTTTTTAAGTAGGGGGAAGTTAATAAAAGCTACTGCAGTGTGGAATGTTAAGACCAGTTATCTTTTGCTGCCTCCTGGAGCGGGACAAGCGTGACGAGGCCAAGGAATGGCAGTAGCATGCAGAACATTAGCACTCTTTGAAATGGGTTTCTGCACTACGGAACCTTAATTGTCATAAGACGTTAAAGTCATACCTTGGAATTTGAGCAAATGCCTTGGAATGTTATTGATCATGAAGACATCACTTGGATTTTATAAGCCCAAATGCTTAGGGAAGGTATGAAGTTGAAGTGTTGCATTTCAGAGCTTCAATATGTAGTTTACTTTTTTTTCCTTGTTAAAAATCGCTAGCTCATTTCTCAAGGTTTTTTCAGCAAGAGAAGAATAACACTATAATTTTATTTATTTGCAAAAGAATCTTTATCAAAACCCAAACAGTCTTAATGAGGACCATAATGTGACTGTGTCATTTGAAGAAAAGTCCTCCTCCTAGGAATTCTTTTTAACTCCTGGTACGGGCCAGAAGATAGTATTTCCATACTTAACATTCTTGTGAGTTATTACAGCTAAAAATATACCTTTGAATAAA